CCTCTGAGCTAAAATAGTCTTACCCCACATAAACTCTCATTGCTTTGTTTTATTTCCTTCACAGCATTTAGAACTATCCGAAATTCTCATGACTTTATCAGTCTGTTGTCTGCCTCCCCCATCAGAAGGCAAGCTCTGTGAGGACAGGGCCCGCTATCTTTCCCCGTGCCTGCAGCACTACCAGACAGGCAATGAGTGCTTGTTAAATATTTATTGAGCAAATGATCTCCATAGTGCAAGTTATAATCAACTTCGTAAACAACACCCAAAGGTCAGTCTCTGTTCCTTGAGATCACACCAGTCCAGGGACACTGACCATCCAGAGAACAGTCTATAGCCAGCTCCTGGCTGAAAGGGCAGATGCCCAGGCTGGAAACCCAGTTGGCCTTCAAGGACTTCCCGTGCTCTCTCACTAATCTCTCACCGTCATTCCCGGTCAGAAGGCAGAGCACACTCAAGGGGCCTTTCCTGTAGGTTTATAAATAAGTCTGCGCTCATGGCTGATCCCAAACTGGCCTACATGGCAACACGCCCTCAGTTTGCTCAGTTAGTAGGACTGCTCCCTGTGGGGTTAGCAAATAACCGTCGCGTCGCGCAGAGAGCAGCCCAGAACAAAAATCTGTTGTGCGTCCTCACACAAACACCACACGTTGCAGATTCTCTCCCAAACCTCGGTCCCAGTCTCTACAGCAGCAGTCCACCCCAGTCCTACCCCAGAGCGCTAACTTGGAGTGGCTCCCTGGCTTATTTTTTTTTGTAAGTCATTTCAATCAAGTAAACACTGAAGTTAATGCGTAAACTGTAGAGTGCTTGTCACTCAAAAGATGTTAGTACTAAGCCCAAGCAATTGGCACATTTACCAAGATGTCCCTTGTGAGTTCTTTGGGGACAAATTGCTCAAAATAGTATTTGAGATTTTTCGATTATTAAGAAATGGACATGAAATAATTTTATGGACATGACTTCTATTTCTTTGTGTATCGAATGCAGCACAATAATCCAAGACTTCCTTTTTATAAAGACTGACTACATATTTGATAACATGCAGCAATAGGACTCAATGATCGGAGAGTACATATGCCTTTTTATTATAGACAAAAGCCTTAGAAAGACCAGTGCCCGTAAGGTGAATAGTCATCACATTGCAAGGTGTCACAATACAGTAGGTTATATGCGACAGGTTGCCTTTTACTTGTTGCCTCCTTCAGCGTAGGATTAGGCTGCTTCATTTAGTGCAAACTTTTTGCCCTTCCAAGCAAAGAGCCAGTGAGGAAATTAATCTCTATGACTTGATGTGAGGATAACTGAATGGTCAAGAACAGGGTTCTAGAGGCAGATCGTTTTGCGTCGAAGGTCTTGGTTCTCTCACTTTCAGCAGTGTGACCACCGTCAGGATGTCCTGTGTGAACTTGGCCATCGTACTTAATTCCTCTGAGCCTACATCTCTTCATCTGCAGAGTGGAAATACCTCATAGATCTGTTAGTACAGATTAAATTGCATAATGTATGCAAAACATTTAGCACAGCCCATTCCAACTTCAGGTGTTGCCATTGATGAATTAGGAGGATTCTAGCAAGCAACTTCTGACCTCTCTCCTGAAGTTCTCCAAGGACTGCAGAACTGGGAAGGATGCAAGGGCACTTGAGTTGATATCGAGATTATGAAATTGACAGCGTGTAGACACATGGGCTCAGGCATGGCCAGACGATTCATATGTATTAGTGGCAAGTTAAAAAAAAAATCACCCAGTTCAGCTGGAGGGTTGACTATAACAGTGCCTGTGGATATTAAGTTCTATGAAACTCCATAGAAATTCATCAAAGAAAACACACGTTACCTAATCCGGGCTGCAGACCTGCATCCGTGCAGTGGATATGGTTGCCATTTAGAAGAACAATCCATTTCCAGTTCTCCTAAAAGGAGTCATGGGTCCCTTACCTCCCAGAGTTACTCCTGTCTTCTTGATGTTTATGACGTCTTAGATTTATATAACTGTTTTCTGTAATGCATTTCTGTGTGTTTCCGTTCAGTTCGTTTAAAATTCACAATATTTCTACGTGTTCTGCAAAGTAGGTAGTATTTATGCCATTTTTGGCATTTCTTCATTCTCTTCTATTTTAATGCAGAAGGAGTATGAGACCCAGAGAGGTTAAGCAACTTGCCCAGAGGTCACATTATCTGTCCACTAGCCAGACAGTAGGAACACTTAGCCCAGTAAGCTTCCTTCCACGTAAGTGTTTCTCCAACTGTAGCATGCATATGAATCACTGGGGATCTGGTTACACTGCAGCTTCTGAATTCAGTAGGTCTGCGGGGAAGCTAGGGTTCTGCATGTCTAACAGGATCCGGGGACTCTGCTGCTGGAGACTTCCTCCACGACACCACACCCTCCCAGGCATATTCTGTCTACTACTCAGCCCATTGCAATTGAACCCTTTGGGTATCCATTCATTCCCCCCCGCCCCCACTGGACTCTGAGCTCCCTGGGAGCAGGAAAAGTATGCTTTGTTCACTACTTTGCCCAGGTTATTCAACACCATGCCTGGCAAAAAGGAACTGAATGAATATTTTTAAACAGTGAAAAAAAAAAAAACAATATATTTTTGATTATAAAGCCAAGACTCTACTTATTGCAAGAAGATATTTAACAGTGTTCCTTTGTTGTCGCAAATCATACTGTACCTAGCTGTAATTGCCAGGTCCCGAAATAACATCCCCAAAGGAGGCCTGCACTGTCAACAGGTTTAGACCTACACCTCACCCAGAACTCTGCTGGGCCAGTGGCAAACAGTCACACTCGCAGGGAATGGGTTAATGTGAGCTCATTCTGAGAGCAAGGGGGGCATGTAGGACAGGCAGGTGACTGAGACCCACTAACATTCAGCTTGAAGGAAGCCAAGTCACCTGTGCTTCTCCCTGAGGATGCTGATAACACCAGTCTGTCACAGTTTTCAGTTTTCCATACACCAAGAACTATGCTAAGCGTTTTGCATGGTCATCTCATTTCATCCTCTCTACAAACCTGGGACACAGGCACTTGGTTTATAGGTCAGGGAGGGGAGACGCAGGGTTATTAAACTGTAGGAGGCATAACCCAGTTTTGGACACACGTAATCTGGCTTCATAGTCAGTGCTTCTAACCACATTGTCTACTGCCTGGAAGCAGACAGGGGGGAAGAAAAACAATTTCTAGAAGATGGAGTGACTTTGCTCTCCTGTCAGTAACCTGATAACATAGGCCCCAACAAATCCCAAATACAGGGAAGTGGGGAGAAACCCATTATACATCAACAGGATGTGACTCTTTTTTTTTTTTTTTTTAAGATTTTATTTATTTATTTGAGAGAGAATGAGTGAGAGAGAGCATGAGAGAGGAGAAAGTCAGAGGGAGAAGCTGACTCCTTAAGGAGCTAGGATCCCGATGCGGGACTCGATCCTGGAAGTCCGGGATCATGACCTGAGCCCAAGGCAGGTGCCCAGGACGTGACTCTTATATCCAAAAGGAAGGGTGTGAATGTATAGTATAGAAAAAGTAGGATTTTCTGTTATAGCAAGTGTGCAAGGAGTTTGACTCTGCTTGGCTTATGGTTAAATACACAACACCACTGAAAGGTTAAGTAAGAGTCAGTTAAGTAATAAGTCTCAAAGGTCCCAGATTCCTTTCACACTTCATTAGGCCTCTTATGAAATCTTGCATTAATGATTGGGCCAAATCTGAGAAAATGGTCATCACATGGAGTAAATCAGAATTTGGTGAAGCATGTGTGTCCAATGTAAAAAGTCAGAAAGTCTAAAGGACAGAGTGACCTTTGCTTTTCAGAAGCTTAAAAAGCAGAAGTTTAACAGTTATATTTTAACACTGTCAGAAAATGAGGAAATCAAGAAAACAAGTAAAAATCAAGAAAACATTGTCAAGCAGGGTAATTGATGTCTCTTTCATAAAAGATTTTTAAATGCAGAATAAGAAAATAAATAGTGGTGATATAAAAGTACAGCCCTAAGGGGCACCTGGGTGGCTCAGTGGGTTAAAGCCTCTGCCTTCGGCTCAGGTCATGATCTCAGGGTCCTGGGATCGAGCCCCACATCGGGCTCTCTGCTCAGCAGGGAGCCTGCTTCCCCCTTTCTCTCTGCCTGCCTCTCTCTCTGCCTACTTGTGATCTCTGTCTACCAAATAAATAAATAAAATCTTAAAAAAAAAAAAATACAGCCCTAATGACTTGACTAAAACATTGTGCGAAGAAGTTGAGCTCTGCAGATTGGTTTTTAATCACACTCTTCTTCTAATTATTTACCTTTGGTGGCAACATAATGTGGATTGCGAAGGCCCAAGACCTGGTTCTGTCACTTCCTCGTTTTGGTCTCAAGCTAGCATATTTCTCCCCAACATCCCATTTTTCCTTCTGTAAAATGAGGGCAACAAAGCTGCCTCCTAGAATTATGTGAGCCTTACATTAAATGACATACGGGGAGCCTTTAGACCCAAATGGAAAATCAGACACATTGCTCCTGTTTTCTCTCCTCTCTTGTAACTTCTATTTTCTTAAAAGAATCTCTTTACAGTATTTCTATTCCTAACTTTAAGTTCTTGTTGATAGAAACATAAAATTGTCCAGGGTTCGGAAAAACATACCTACCTCCACACAGATGAGATAAGTGTGTAAGAAAATGAGTATAAACTACTGGCATATCGTATGGAAAGACTGTCATATGTTAAGCTTGGTGTGTTAAAAATAGAACCATATAAAATTTCATGTAGTTATGCATCCTGAAAAAAAATCACCCATACTTACACTTACAAATTTTAGTCAATATACCAAATTACAATCATATTAAAAAGCCAAGAAGTTTTATAACTCAGTAGTGTAGATTTCTGGGGAAAAAAAACATTAATTTTTATAATGTTTTATAAACCTTATAACCTAAGCAATACACAATATTGTTTTGATTGTAATGTCCTTTTGGCTTCTAGAATATTAGCAAATTAAAATCACTCAAAAAATTAAACTGCAAATTTTATTCAGTGGAATTAATGTGAAATTTACATGTGAAGCAAGGGAATTCAGCTCTTTAGGAAGTTATAATGACATATATAATAGACATAAAGTCAACAAAGATAACAAACAAAATTTTTAGAAGTCTTTCAAGAATTTCATCTTCTGGACTTGCAGGAATAGTAGTAGACATTAATATCCAGTTTTTACACATCATATCCAGAATGCTCTTGCTCCCTGATGGGGGAAAAGAGAAAAGTATCTTGAAATAAATATATTTATAATCCTGATTCTTTAACCTCAGTGGAATAGTTGTACTGTAAAAAATAATGATGAGGGAACATCTGTACACATCTGTAATCCACCAATAAACTAAAATACTTTTCCCCCTAATTAATTAAAATATTTTCCACCCACTCATTTTGACCACTTTATGTCATAATCAGACATTTTTCTATATGTCAAATATGCCTTTCTTTCTAAAAAGGGACAGCTTGGGGCACTTGCGTGGCTCAGTCGGTTAAGCTTCTTTCCTTAGCCTCAGGTCATGATCCCGGGGTCCTGGGATTGAGCCCTGCATAAGGGCTCCCTGCTCAGCAGGGAGTCTGCTTCTTTCTCTGCCTGCTGATCCCCCTGTTTGTGTGCTCTCGCTCTATCTCTCTTTGCCAAATAAATGTACAAAATCTTAAAAAAAAAAAAAAGAAAGAAAGAAAAAGAAACAGTTCAAGGAACTAGCAGAATGACCATTCTCTTGTCATGTTATCGTGTAATTAGTTTTTTATGAAATCTTATCTACAAAGTTATTTACCATCATTTCTACTGGCATCAGTGAAATTGCCATTCTTCCCACCTGTATGGGTGGCATCACCAGGAAATGAGAATTAGAAGACACAGAAAAAGGCAGGTGACAAAATGTTTTTTTTAATTAAACAACAAAAGGTCTTTTTCATTGTCCTGATCTTTCCTCAAGATCCTCTCTCTCATTATTTTGGTCACTCAATAAGATATCAATTTCAAAAAATATTATGGAATTTTAAAAGGTATTAATGTGAGTTCTGTGCAGCACACTGCTGGAACATTTTCCAAATGAATGCCTGTCAGGGAGGGAGTTTAGAACCATTCTGAACTCCTTTTTCAGGAATGCAAGGTCAAATAAATCAAGCAGTTTTCAAAGACTTGCATCAGAGTTCCTTTTATACACTCAAAAGGAGTGTCAATACTTTTTAAAAGTGGCAATGTTGGAGTAGAAGAATACTTTTTGCTATTTTCACTCAAAAACCAAAAAAGCAAGTTGAGTTGTAAGAGAGAGGACTAGATGAGGTTTCTACGGTATTGTCTTCTCCCATTTCAGCAATCTGGTTTAAGTTCTGTAATAACTAGCCCCGTTCCTGGAGGAGGGAATGACATGCCCCAAATTACACAGCAGTCACTGGCAAAGTAAACACCTAGAATATCCCTGACATTCAAAGATTCCTTTCGCCTATGTTTCAGAAGCAATGGGTGAGAAGAATATACAAGTTTGTAAAGTGATTTCTTTCATTCCTACGGCCTCCGGCTTGTGTTTCTTTCATCTGTGCTCTGAAGAGCACTTTTACTTTCCTTCAACAACAGCAAGAGACTAAGATAGGAAGTGTGGGAAAGACCAGGTAGCGGGTGGGGACTGATGAGTGAGTAGAAACCCATTTCTCACCTGACTTAATCCCAGGTAATGGTAGATAACCCCACTCCCGGGGTTCACTCCGCAAGCTCTTGCTAGAACAAAGTGCATTCAGCGCAGGTGGTCTCTTAGCAACCTTGGTCCCTGTGTCAAAGCACATTGAAAGGTTTTAGTGGATAGTGAGGTAGTGTACAAAGTAGAGGGGCAGGGTGCCTGCTTGGAGAAACCTCTAAAAGAAGTCAGGAAGATGTCAAAGGGCAGACTTCAGAAAATATGACACTTTAATTTTAATTTATCACAGATTTGTGCAGCTAAATAGTGAAACTTTAACAGAAAGGTTAAGCTGAATTTTAAGGTTTTCCTGGCAAGGAAAACATTCACCATGTCTTTTAAACATTTCTCTCTCTGATTAAACATTTCTCTCTCTGAGAAATGTTTAAAGATACATACATTTGCAACTAGTAAGTAAATTCTAAAGACCTAATACCCATTACAGTGATTATAGATAATAAAACTGTATTATAAACATTAAGTTGCTAAAAGACTAGGTTTTATTTGTTTTCAACGCAAGAAGAGATGATAATTATGTGGTATGATATAGGTATTGGCTAATATTACTATGGCAATCATACCGTACAACTCAATCAAAAAATTCCCTAAGAGTTATTTTAAATATATTTGCTTCAATACCGTCTATGACAATGAACAAAACACCACTGTCTACATAAGACCATAGTTCATGTGACTGTATGTCTGCTATAAATTCTATAAGTTTTAGGACTTTTTATCACTTTTATGAACAAATTAGAAAGTGCAGGAGTAAATTTATTACAAAAGACCAGGCTACAAAATTTAGGCACCATTGGAAGATTATTTATCCAATAAAATGATGGTTATTATAACTACAAAATAATAAAAACACTACTTAGAAAATTATGTTTAGGGGCACCTGGGTGGCTCAGCGGGCTGAGGCTCTGCCTTTGGCTCAGGTCATGATCTCAGGGTCCTGGGATCGAGCCCCACGTCAGGCTCTCTGCTCAGCAGGGAGCCTGCTTCCCCCCACTCTCTCTCCCTGCCTCTCTGCCTGCTTGTGATCTCTCTCTCTGTGTTAAATAAATAAATAAAATCTAAAAAAAAAAAGAAAAGAAAATTGTGTTTAATATTTAAATATGATTGAAACCCATACCTTATGACCACCCGTTACACTACAAAGTACATACGAGATGCATGAATATCCGCATCAGGGCACCTACTGTTCATCATACTCTCCACTCAGCAACAACCCACATGCCCATTAGCAGATAAATAGCTAAATTCATATAACGGAATACTACACAATAATGAACATTAAGCTACAGCTACATACAAAAGCAGGGGTAAATTTTGTGATCATAATATCGAAGTCTTAAAAAGCAAGGCCCCAAAAGGGCTCCTGGCTTGGCACAGTTGGGTAAAGCGTCCAACTTGTGGTTTTGGCTCAGGTCATGATCTCAGGGTCATGAGATCGTGCCCCACCTCAGGCTCTGCACTCAGTATGGAGTCTGCTTGAGATTCTCTCCCTCTGCCCCTCCCACTGCACACACACTCTCTCTCTCAAATAAATAAAATAAATCTTTTTTGAAGAGTGTGCAATTAAGGGGTGCATATGTGAATGGCAACTGTGTAGGAGGTAAATTTATCAAGGAAAGCAAGGGATTGGCTACCATGTCAGGATGGGTGACTTCAGTGAGGGTAACGGAAGGGATAAGTGGGATGAGGAGCTCCCAGCACTGTTTAATTTCTTGTTCTGGGCAGGGCTTGCACTGGCAATCACTTTTTTTTTTTTTAAGAGTTTATTCATTCGACAGAGATCACAAGTAGGCAGAGAGGCGGGCAGAGAGAGGAGGAAGCAGGCTTCCCGCTGAGCAGAGAGCCTGATGTGGGGCTCGAACCCAGGACCCCGGGACCATGACCCAAGCTGAAGGCAGAGGCTTTAACCCACTGAGCCACCCAGGCGCCCCACACTGGCAATTACTTTTTAACCATTTGTTAAACTGTACCTATAAGTTTTATGCACTTTTCTGTATGTATGTTAAACTTCACAACCGAACTACGAGAAAAAAAAAAAAAAAGGAAAGGAAAGAAAAGAACACTAAAAAATACCTACAAATGATCACAGTGGTCAATTTTGGAAGGAAGGACAGTATGTGATTTTTTTATCCTTCTGTTTCCATTTCTCCCATTTTCATTTAAAGGGACATCGCTTGTTTATATAACTTGAGAAAATAAAGAAAATAGTTTCAAAACTGCCAGTCCTCTTCTTTCTCCATATATAGAAAAGTAACGTATACTAATTTTATTTTGTCAAACCGATCATTTAAGCAAGTATGAACTTGGGAAAATTAGATTTATCCATGAAATATTTTAATTGAAAACATATCAGTACAAATGATATATTTTCAATTAAAATGTTTCACTGATAAACTTAACTTTCCTTGAGTTCATTTTAAGTCTCTTTTGCTAAAGAACATGTTCTTGTCTCATCCAAAACACTCATGATCAATAGGAATATGGGTGGTTCCTGTTTGGTTCTTCTGCTTGATGATAGATCTGCTTTTAGATCTCAGTAACTGGAAGGACACAGACTTGTATCATCACAAGCTTACTAATGTGCTCAGATTTTACTGTGGATTAAAATTATGAGTGTCACTGCACCTTGATTTATGTTTTGTCTAATTCTTACATGGCTAGAATGTTTGTAATCAGGTGTTTTTTTCTTTGGGATTGGAGGGACATTTTTTTTGGGGGGGGAAGCTATTTAGCAACAGCAGTTCTCAGGGGGAAAAAAAGATTCCTAGTGTTTTTTATTGGGTACAACATGCACCAAAAATACAAATTTCAGGGGCACCTGGGTGGTTCAGTGGGTTAAAGCCTCTGCCTTCGGCTTGGGTCATGATCCCAAGATCCTGGGACTCTCTGCTCAGCGGGGAGCCTTCTTCCTCCTCTCTCTCTCTCTGCCTGCTTTTCTGCCTACTAGTGATCTCTGTCTGTCAAATAAATAAATAAAATCTTTAAAAAATTTTTTTCAAATAAATTAGGACACTTTTAAGAGTATGATAGACCATATTGAGTGTGACTATTTCGAGACCACAGGCTTATCTTGAATATAGTATTTAAAAGTCATAACTAAAATAATCTCCAATTTCTAATCTAAGACATCCCTGATTATTTTGGGCCTTCGTGTTGAAATTTCAGAAGATTGCGAATAATTTATCATCTCATTCGCAATGCTTCTACCTACCTTTCTTTTTCCTATTTCAGAAGGTACTGGGAATCAAATTATTATTTTTTAGAATGTTGTACTGCAAATACTCTTATCTGTTTTTTAAAATTTGTATTTGTTTTATCTTTTGACTCCAGAAAGAGTCCAAATAGTCTAATTCAAAGTGACCTGTTCATTGTTTATCAGTGGTTGAAAAGTGGCATCGCACAAAGTTGGACAAATGGAGAGTAGCAATAAACTTTGGTCTCTGGGAATGGAATTTCACTGTATGCCCTGTTCTTCCTCCTGACATCAGCTTGTAGGCTCTTGCCTTTTTTTTTTTTTAAAGATTTTATTTATTTATTTGACAGAGAGAGAGACAGCAAGAGAAGGAACATAAGCAGGGGGAGTGGGAGAAGGAGAATCAAGCTTCCCACCGAGCAGGGAGCCGGATGTGGGGCTTGATCCCGACCCCAGGATCATGACCTGAGCCTAAAGCAAACACTTAACAACTGAACCACCCAGGTGGCCCTAGGCTCTTGCCTTTAAAACCTTTATGAACTTGTTTTTATATAAAATGGGGCTTCTCAAATCAACTCTGACTTCTGCAACCATAAGAAGAGTGGATTTGCTAAATGGCTTGCACCTCCCCCCACCACCACCACCAAGTAAGACCTCACCATTTTCTCAATTTCTCTCAACCTCTACTATTTCCCCTCACTGGGCATGGATTCTTGGTCAAGACAAAGAACAGAACATACTTTGGAAAGTCTCTTTTCAGTCAAAAGAAAAACAATTTTCATTGGATTCAAGTTTATAGTCTTAAACTCTTGAGTCATAGTTCAAAAATATTTTCTTTTTTGACAAGAATTTGTACATGCTATTCCTGTTTCCATCAGTATCTAATGGTCAAGATAATATTGAGCAAAGTTGCCTAAAGACACATGTTGAAAAATGACACGTAATTGAAATCTGTCCATTTTTACCTAACAGGTCACTCCAGTAAAGTACAGTAATTCCCATTTATTGAGGAGCTAGCCTGTGCCAGGCTGTGGCCACACGCCATGAGAACATGGAGCAACTACCCAGGGCCACTCAGTATTCTGCGCTGGGTCCGAGATTCTCCTAGCCCAGGGCTCCAGATGGCACCATCTTTCAAATACATAGATTTACTAATATTTTCAAACAAGAAGTTACTTTTGAAAAGATCTGCTTTACAATGGAAATTGACCATACTGAAGTGGAAATACCCGCACGTAATTGTTAATGGCCACTCTTCCTCTTTGGTCCCAGCTCCTTTCTGTGTATGTGAACTGTTGGTCAAATAATGCGATGTACTGCCTTGCGATGGCTCTTCTGGGAGAGAGAACCCTGAATCTGCCAGGATATCTCTACAACAGTCAGCTGTCCGTTCACTCACATCAAAATACCCTGCTCCTTGTGAATGGGACAGTCACAGACCACCAGTGGGACCTTACTCTAGCAACCCGGTTTGTTGAAAGTACAGGTTTTAAAATATATTTATTAGCTTTTTTATCTGCAATTTTATTCTGGTTTATTATTACCTTGTTATCGATCCACTTATCAACCTTTGACTGACAGGTTTTTTTCCCCTTGACCTCCTTAACCTTAACTAGACAAAGAAATAACAAGAATGTTTTCTGCACATGATGGTTGAGCGATGGGTGTAGAATCAGACTGATAGAGTTTCCCTCAGATCTGTTACTTACCATGAAACCTTGGATGATCCCATTAGTGCTTCTAGAAAATGGAGATGAAAATAAAGTACCTATTTCTTAGGGCAGTATGAGCATGAAATGAGATGATTCTTGTGCCGGGCAAGTACACATCATAAGTAATGGTAAATATTATCATAATTATAATCTAGCATATTACCTCCTAG